CTGGTATATTAACAGCATCATGTTTCAGTCATCCATATACAAACATATATTCATTTTCATATTCTTTTCACTATAGGTTGCTACCAGATGTTGAATATGTAATTGTTAAGAAATAAATAACTAATCCACCCCTATTGGTGAGTAATAGCAGTAAGAGGTATAAAATAATAATTCATGATTTATAATTTATAAGATGAATTTCCAAAAAACCACGCAAAGAGCTCAGCAGCTATCATGTGTGGTTTGCTATGTTAGTTACTCATTTCTGCTATTAGCTCATTTACTCTCCACAAGACTACTGAAAGGCAGATGGCAATATTTCCATTTTACCTACGGGGAAAAGCCGACGGAAATGAACTCACTTGGCGAACGTGCTAATAAGTGGCACAGAAAGAATTGAAATCCAAGTCTCCTTGTTTCCAATTCCCATGCTCTGAACCACTGTGCACACCATCTCCCAACACATGTTTATTGATTGAGTGGATGAGCAAACGGTACCAACCAGGGCTGCCTTATAACGTTCATGAGCCCGAGGCATCCTGGCCTCTGTGGGCCCTTCCTCCATTAAAAATATTAAAAATCATATTTTGTGGCCATATTATTATAAAGATGAACATAATCGAGGCTGGGTTCATTATTGTATATTCATTAATATGATATTCATTTTTTTCTAACTTTAAAGGAAATTAAAATTAAACCATTTCCATGGACCCCTAAAAGAAGGGTGGCTCTTGCTGTTGACCCTGCCATGATAATGGATAACCAGGTCCTGGGAGCAACTTGTGCACAGCCATCAGACAATTGAAAAGAAGAAAATATTTGATGTCGTATTTTAAAAGCCAAATGAACGCTCTCTATTGACTTTGCTTTTTCCTTCTTCTAAGCAGTAGAGGGCACAGGGCAAGGGGAAACGATCAGAACCCATTGGGGGTGCTTTGGGTAGAGCAGAGTGTACTGTATGTGCAGTGGTCTGTCCATGAAGCTAAAAGGAAGACTGCGGTGGAGGGTGATTAACCCCACCTCCTGAGAGAAGCTGGCGGTGCCTCCGTCAGCTGCGTTCAGCTCTCTTGGAAAGGAGTTCGTGGGCATAGCTTTGAGATCCTGCTCCCTGTGGATGAAAAATGTCACCTGCCATATCAGTAAACAAAGGATGCTGTGGCCATCAGCCACTGTACCGTGCACCCTGAGGGGATTCAGGATGGAGATAAGCAGGATATTGACCCTAGAGAGTTAAGGTGCAGATCAAAGGAATGATTTCAATGAGCCCAGACTCTGGCATCTTCCCATACATAGAAAAGCACTAAGTTCACTAACGTGAGATGTCTGGTTTTCTTTAATGTAATCTTTTGATGTTCCAGTTACCTGGGTTGTGTTGCAGAACTCCTGTATATCCTGCTCCTCCCTTACCTCTTCAGAGCAGAGCTGAGAGGCTGTCTTCCAGGCGTACGTCCTCAGCAAGTCAGCCGAATAAAACATAATTCTCAACTTTTATGCTGAGCACTTTTTTTCCTGTCGACATCCCTGTGACCCACCTTGACTAGGATATGACTGACTCCCTCCCATGAAGTTCGAGATGCTTGTGAGATACTTGTGACCGTGCTCAGAAGTTAAGTTCCGGGAGAGAGCACGACACAATGAAACAGGAAGGTAAAACAAAATGACTTTTAGATCTGGGACAAACTTCTGCACCCAGGAACTGTGTGGTTGTGGATGAACTAACTTTATAGCACCTGAGTTTTATCATCTTTAGAAGGAGAGCTGGGTGGCAAAGATGATCAGTGCTCACCAGACAGCCACAGGCTCCTCACGATTTCAGAGCCAGGGTCTGGCCAGGGGAGTGTGAGCAGAAGGGACACTCCAGGGCAAGGCTGGTAGAAGCTGCTCTATGTCCAGATCTCATTTTCCCTTCCACAGCAACCTTGGAAGCCACGTGTTCAGGACAGCATAGCTAGAAAATGACAAGGGGCTCAGATTCATGAGCTACTGCCTGGAGGAGAGCTGAGCAGGAGAGCCACCAGACCCATGTTGAATGCTGAATGAGAGGGAGATAAACTATTAGTCTGGGGGTTCTTTGTTACTCAGTGTAATTTAGTTTATCCTGACTACCAGAGACTGTAACGTCAGTTTGTCTGGATCATGAAGATTCAACAGGAGGATGAATGAAAAGCATCAAACACAGTGCCTGGAAGAGGGAACACAGTCAGCAATTCTCTCCTCTACTTTCAAAAAGTGAGGAACTGTTTCTGATCCCTTTCTGATACTATCT